CGTTTTTGCAATGACTAAACTTCATTCTTATGGGAGAATACTTCTCCCTAATTTCTTGATTTTTCAACCCAGTTTTCTCAGGATTCGTGATTTAGAAAAACATAAAATCCTTGAGAAATACCAGGAAGTGATGTTTTCCAGGTTTTCATTTCAGGAGACCAATCTGCTTTTGAAGTTATGTCTATCAGCTTACACGTGGTTCCAATGCAGCAACTGTGTTTGACCAAAGCTCTACCGGTCCCCTACGCTCTTCTGGAGACGCAGTGACTTCTATTCTAAACACAGGTATGATGTGGCCTTCATCTCTTGAGACCATGAATCACTCTGAATCACCTATCCTTATCCCTCAGGAAACAGAAATTTTTTGCAGTTGCAAAAACTGAGCCTGGCTGTAGTTAAGTAAATTTTCCAAACTGTTACATCCTCCTGCGTCCCTACCTCCCTACCTCCCTTGGCTATGAGAGCACTTTGGAGCACTCTGGGAGGTCCTGTCAGAGCTCTCATCATGCCTGTTACAGCTCTCTGTGCATCTGTTACCAAGGATACCGTCTTTGAAAAGTAGACGCTGTCCTGTCATCCTCAATAAGTATCAGTTAAGTAAACGAGGGAGTTTCTCACAAGCCTACGTCCTTGTCAACTCCTGGCATTAGTATTCTCAGCTCTCAATTCAACAAGTGTCTCCTAAGTACCAAATGTCTGCTCTGTGCCAGGAACACTGTTAGGCACCTGGGAGACCTGAAGAAGAAGACAAACATCACCACATCCTCATGGAATCCACACACAGGAGACCCACTTGGAGAACTGGAGGGCAAGGAATGGAGAATTCTAGGGGAGCTGGGGGGAGGGGTCAAATCAGTCGTAGCGTCAAGTACGAATTCTGGAGAAAATGGCCCTTAGGCTGAGACCTGAGTGACGAGGAGTTTGGAGGTATGGGTGGTGGGTAGAGAGGAAGAATGACAAGTGCATGGTAAGCCTCAGGTGAGAAGACCCAAGAGCGAGAGTGTGGGCTGGGGGCCACGTAGCAGCACCACGTTCTAGGCCATGGACAACAACATGCAGGTACGTACTTCCTCAATATCAGTGACCGTGAATTTAACACACAGAAAATAACAACTTTAAAACATGAAAATAACCACCTTCCCAGCTCCTTATGAGCCTCTCAGAGGTTAAAACAAATCACAAAGGGGTTCTCAATCCTGAGTTCACATTCGAAAGTCCTGAGAGTTCAAAAATAATCTGATGCTCATGACTGACTATAGACCAACTAAGCACCATCTCCAAGTGCAGGAGTCAAGTGTCGGTATTTTTAAACAGCAAAGTTTATGACCACGACGCAGTGGACAGCAACCTCAAAGCTCAGCAGTGCTGCACTCCCGGCGACTCCCTCGGGTTCTTCTGGAAATGTCCCTGCTCCCTGACTTCCTCTCGTCATTCACATCGTAGCCGAAGCTGACATGACTCCTCAGAGAGGCCTTCCCTGACCACCCAACCCAAAGCTGCTGCACCCAGGCAATGCCTCCCCATCACAGCACGTGTCCCTTGCTGACAGCGGCCCTGCTTCCTAGATCCTTCAGAGGAACGCGAGTTCCCTGAGACCGGGGGTCTTGCTGTTTTGTTCACAGCCGTGTCTCCAGTAAGTATTTCATGAAAGAAAGAAGAATGTAGGCCAGGAGGCAAGCGAACATGGGGCTGCCACCCAGGCACGGGGATAGAGAAGAGTCACATTCTGAAGCTACCATTCGGATGGATTCAGATCAGATGTGATCAAGCCCAATTAAACAGCATGGAGGACGTTTTAAAAAACCTTAACCAAAAACGAGGTATGAGCCAGACTTCCACTTTCCAAGCTGAGCTCTATCTAGGGAGAAGACTACAGAACATCAAATGTTTAGGCTGGACGAGAGTCAGCAAGGTCTGAGTTAAAAGTCTCATGAAGAGGAAAGGGGGGATTAGGCGCAACCTCTCCACTAACCACAGGGAAAGAAGAGACACCTTTACCTACAGAGCAACTGACAGGTTAGCTTCCAAACCAAACCCGACCTGTAGCCATCAAGTTCATTCCAATGCACGCAGGACAGAGGAGAACTGCCTCACAGGGTTCCAAGGGGGTAAGTCGTTACAGAAGCAGACTGCCTCATCTCTCTTCCATAGAGCAGCTGGTGGGTTCAAACCACTGAACCTTCGGTTAGCAGCCAAATGCTTTAACCACTGTGCCACCAAAGCTCCTCAGAATTTACCTGAAGCATAAGACAAGGTGTACCAAAGGAAAGGTGACTTGAGAGCGGCCACTAAAGATGCGAGTTACAAATCAGATCTCAGCAAGTTTCCAGACTGGTATAAACATACTTCCGTGGAGATGGCTCACAAACAATTCTGACATAAAGGAAAATGAACACGCAGGATAGCCAGGTTTGAGTCCCATAACTATCACAGTATCTTCAGCCCTTGAATTTCTCCCAGTGAACTGACTGAGACCTGTTGTTGGGTGCCAGTGAGTCCGTGTTGACCCACAGTGACCCCACGTGAGAGAGCAGAACTGCTAATAGGGTTTTCTAGGCTGTAACCCTGATAGGAGCAGATCACCAAGTCACCTATCACCAGCCTTCAGTCAGCAGCCGAACGCTTACCTGCTGCATCACAAACTCCAAAACACCCAACTCATAGCCAGAGGTGATTCCAGCTCACAGTGATCCCCGTCGGGTTTCCAAGCTGTGAAACTTTACAGAAGCAGACTGCCTCTTCGTTCTTCTGTGGAGTGGCTGGTGGGTTTGAACCACCAAACTTCTAGTTAGCAGCCAAATGCCTTAACCACTACACCGCCCAATTTAGAGCTAGTATCACTGAAATTAGCTAGGAGAAAACACCAGTAAAAACAGTACCAAGTAAGTATTTATGATGAAACCGATGTTACATGTTCATGCTTTTTCCTTCTGTATAAAACTATTCAAGTAAATTAGTAATTTAGATATAAAGGAAATTTTTGAAGATCAAATTCAGAAGTTATCTACAAGGCCACCTAGATATGACTCAAAAGAGAACCTCTGAATGCCAGGAAGAAACTCGACCAGACCAGCTGGGTCGCCCACAGAAAGCCAGTGGGTGGCATGGTAGCATCCGTCCCTCCAGGTCAGGTCTCCGACTCCTGACAGTGGAATCCCACTTCCCCAGCCAGTCAGCACTCAATCTCAAAGCTCTGGAACATTCCAGATGATTCCCACATTTCCTTAATTGCCAAGGCATGGAATTATTGCTTTGTAAGAAAAAGCAAGAGGGCCATTTACGGACTACAGAGATTTCAGAGACACAGATGCAGTGCAGGGACCTATCTGGACCCTAATTCAAATAAAGAGACTGTAATAAGGATTATGAGACAACTGGGGAAATGTGAATATTGACTAAGTATCAGAAATATTACTAATACTTTTTTAGGTGTGATGCTGGCACTGTAATTATGTTCTCCAAGTTCTCGTATTTTTTAGAAATACGTACTAAAATAATTACAGGTGAAATGTCATCCTGAACATGTTCCATAATAATTCAAGAGGCAGTGGAGGTTGCACGAGTGAGGAAACAGATTAAAGGTGCTGTCAACTGGGGCAGCTGGCAATGGGTATGCAGGCATCCAGTAACACTTTTGTCTTCAGTTTGAAGTTTTAAAATTTCTGTAATTTAGAAAGATCCTGTTTACACCTACGAACATATTTATCCTCTTTGATTTATATACATCCTGTGCTCTAGCCTTAACACCCTCAGTGACTCCCAACTGCCTGAACCCCTTCAAGCACTTTTCAAGGCCCCACCAGGTCCTCTGGTCATCCTCTTTGCCACGAGTACAGCCTGGGCTCCATCCCTATGAGCCCTTAAGTCACGAACGTGCTTCCCCATCACACCACCCCACACTCTTTTCTTGAGCATCAGCTTCCTTTTGGTTAAATCCAATTTTTTATAAACCCTTTTCCCTGCCATCCAGTGTGGGGCACTTCCTCCTATACCACTTATCAGACCACTATGCTGACAGATTTTAAATGTAAAATGCCCCTAGTCTTCATCTGGGTCCCAAGTCTGTTCAGTGGAAGATTCATGTTTTCATCTTGTGGCATCTTCAGGGCTGTGCTGAGTGCTGGGGACAGTGCTTGGCTGTTGCGATGACAGCAGCTGGAACACGGGGTCTACTCCTCATTGTTCTGTACTCTCTGAAGTCTTTACAGTAGGCAACACATACTTAGGAAACATTGCAGAGTTTCATCACTACGGAGATTTAAGAGACACAAACTCAATGCATGGAGTCATGAAAGGTGAATCCTCTTTTATAGGGAAATTCTTTTATTTACATCACCCCGTAACAGGATGGCTTCCAAGAGCAATGAAGACCACGGCACCCACTACAGGAGCTCAAAGACAAGAAAGAGATTTCCCTATTAACTCAGTCATCCCTCCTTCAACATTCCATGTCCTGTGCCCTGAGATAAAAATGTTAAGAGTCGTTTTTCTACAATGAAAACCTTATAAATATTAGCAAATACTGTATTGCTGGAAACATCTCATTGCCGCGTACAGAGCACCAGGTTTTCTGGACTGTGATGGGTGCAAGGGAAGCAAGATGGAACTGATGGCAGGAGAAGGAAGAGGGTTAAGATGCACACAGAGAAGGTGGGCTTCCCAGTGGGCCTCCTGCAGCCACCCAGGAACGTGAAGGAAACAGGCCTGCCTGAAAATTCTAGACCATCTAGAGTGTCTATACATTTATTCAGTTTCTGCCGATTAAGTCATCAAACATGTATTTATTAAGTGCCTACGTGTCAGGCATTGTTCTAGGCAATGAACATACAAGGTCCTATAAAAAGTTTAAGACCCATTTAAAATTGATAATAATTATGATCTACATTAGAAACATACCAGTAAGTTACACTGACACGATAAGGAACTATGAAACACCAAGGCACTAATTTTCATCACTTCAATTCAGAGCAGAAGCACGTGTGAAATAAAATCAATGTTACCTTGTATTTCATTTTGGGACAGGAATGAATGTAGAAACCCATGTAATAGTAGCTGAGTGGAAGCACTTTCTCATGAAGTTGCTTAGTGAAAGCAATTTCTCTGCCAAAAGGGAAAAAAAAAAAAATAAAGACAAAGGTACGTTTAATTCTGTTTCCAATATTCAAATAACTCTGTAATTTTATGACAAATATTTGATGACATCTGATATTAGGCTATTAAAAAAATACAACTGTTGAAAGAAAATCAATTTAAAAACGTGTTAAGATGATTTTCACTAAAGAGATACCAATAAAATTCTGTATTACTTGGAACAAATGCATCTAAGTTCCAGCTTTTACACTTCATTGAGCCAAGTAGCTGATCTAAAATTCAAATAGCCTAACATTAACGGGATCCACTTAATGCAGTTTCTTGTTATTATTCATTATGCCCTGGAGGTCTCAAGGAACCTAGGCTTACTAGGTTAAAAACAGTACTGCAAACTTCAGAAACTAAAGGAAAAAACTTTCAGGAATAAACTATTACAGAATAATTATTATCACAGCCATTTATAGGCATATACTTTCAGCTGTGTGTGTGCTGCACAGCTCTTCCTATATCCAACTGCAACTTTAATATTTTTTTCTTTCTAGAGAGGAAGGAGGAGGAGCTCTGGTGGCGTAGTACCTAAGGCACTTGACTGCTAACCAGAAGGCTGGGGTTCAAACCCACCAGCCACTCCTCAGAAGGAAGGTTGGGCAATCCTACTTCCATAGTGATACTGCCCCGGAAACTCAAGGAGGGTTGCTATGAGTCGGGGCCGACTCGACGGCAAATAACAACAACAAGAGAGGAAGGAGCTCTGGTAGCATAGTGGGTGAGACATTTGGCTGCTAACCAGAAGGTTAGTGGTTTGAACCACTAAGCAGAAGGTTAGTGGTTCAAACCCACCAGCTGCTCTGCAAGAGGAAGATGAGGCAATTTACTTCCATAAAGATTTATAGCCTTGGAAACCCAATGGGGGTCACTATGAGTCGGAATTGACTTGATGGCAGTGGGTTTGGTGGTTTTTTTTTTAAAACTAGAGAGGGGGAAATTCCCGTTATCGCAGCACTTTTTCTGTCAGCAAAGGTGAGGACTATCTAGTAAGGATCGTCAGCATCTTCCGTGTAATGCCTATGCTTGCATTTAACTCATATCCAAACACATGTGGGCACAGAACCACGTCCTACCACCCAGACGACCGACTGGCTGTATTTGGCTGTCAGAAGCAAAACTTCAGTATATTTCTAAAGTATGAGGGAAACAGTTTGCTTTGTTATTATCTGTCTTGATTTTGTGTTTGTTCCTTGAACTTTTTCATGTTTGTATTTTCGTAGCAATGGACGCTTGGAATTCAAGGAGAAATTCATATATTTTATTGAATATTCTGTACATTTTGCAACACAAAATGATCAAGGCCAAGGAAGACACTGGGAGAAGCACAAAAGTTAAAGGCAACAAAGATTAGTACTATGACAAACACAATCCTGCAATAACAGTAACAACAACAATCTATGAGTGGATACACAGACACACAAGCTGAACAGGGCAGGAGGGCAGATGGGACTACACCGGTGAAAATGTATATAGATATAGATATAGATATAGATATAGATATATAGATATATGAGCTCTGGTAGCATAATGCTTAAGGCACTTGACTGCTAACCAGAAGGCTGGCTGTTCAAATCCACCAGCCACTCCTCAGAAGGAAGATGGGGCAATCTACTTCTGCAGTGATACTGCCTCGGAAACCCAAGGAGGGGTCGCTATGAGTTGGGTCCGACTCAACAGCACGTAACAACAACAACAACACACACACACACACACACATACAGGTTTGACAGGTGATATTTCTACATATGTGTTTATACAGCAGAGTATACAGTGGGCAAAGTTAAGAAAACTTCTTGGCCATGACCAAACACCTTGAGGCAATGAGCCATTGGGCCTTGGGGCTCAGGCCCACAGTCTCAGGGACTCTAAGGGCAACGGGCCTGAGATAACACAGTCCACGAAAACAATGTTCTACATTCTACCTTGGTGAGTAGCGACTGTGGTCTTAAAAGCTTGCGAGCATGGCATCTAAGATACAACTACTAGTCTCTTCCAGTGGTTCAGTGAATTACCTGGTATGGCTTTTCTACCCATAGTCTTTGTAATTCCCACCAGATTACTGGGTGGGACCATGCAAAGAAGGTGTGTAGAACTCTGATGCTGGGATTGGTTAGTTTTGTCACTCTGCCAGGCTTAAAATGAGGCTTCCTAGAGGCAGAGGGGGATCTCACTGCCATCAAGAGAGAGGAGCTGGAGGTGGAGTGGAGCGAATCCTTGGACCCAAGATCCCTGCGCTGGGTCTCCTTGGATCCTCAATGGAGACACCCCGACTAAGAGACTGTCATAGTGGAACCAAGAGGCATGAGCCAGAGCGGTGGGCTTACCTGGCCCACGGAGTGAGAAAGCTGGGTGCCCTGGGGCAGGAGGCTCGCCGATGGTGTGGGATGCACCTGGGTGTTCCTATCAGCAGAACTGAAAAAGCTTTGTGACACTTGTCCAAGCAGGGCAGAGGCCAGGCCGAGAGGCCAAGGGTCAGAGAAGCAAGTCTAAGGGCACAGCAGTAGGGAGACTATCCTGGTCAAAGAATTGTATCCTAAATGCATTCCTGAACCTGAACTATAGCCTGTAACTTCCCAATAAACCCCATAATCCCGAGTACAGTCTGTGAGTTGTGTGTGGCCACTGCAATGAATTACTGAACCCAGCAGAGAACTATTGAGTGTCATGGGAGGGATGGTTGATGTCAGAACTTGAAAAGCCCATAGAGTGGCTACATGTTTGGCCTCGTAGGAACAAGCCTTGGGCTGCTGATGGTGATTCTGTCTTCCTCTTGTGAAGTTAGAAGTCGGAAGATGCCGCCTCCCTGACCTTTCTGCATTCCCCATCCAGAGAAAAGAAGAGTAAAGAAAATTAAAGACACATGGAAACAATTAGTCCAAAGGGCTAATGGACCCTGTGAACCCCAGTTTCCAGAGCTCTGAGACCAGAAGAACGAGATGGTGCCCAGCTACCACTGCTGACTGCTCTGAAAGGGATCACAATAGGAGGTCCCAAACAGCGTGGGAAGAAAATGTGCAACAAAACTCAAATCACAAAAAAAAAAGACCAGGTTTACGGGCCTGATAGAGATTGATCAAACTCCCAAGACTATGGCTGTTAGAGATCAAGCCTGGAATCGAACTCCCTCCACGGCTCACCTTTCGGGCCTATAAGATGAACAGTATCATCAGAGAAATACACACTCATTAGAACACTCGCCCATACAAGATCAAAAGGGCAGCATTTGCCCACGGGCAAAGCTAAGAAGACAGGAGGGGACAGGAAAGAAGGCAAAGGACAATGGTGAACACAGAGAAGTAGGAAGACTGCTGTTACACCGTGGGGACTGCAATGACAAAATAAAATGTGCATGAATTTTTGAATGGAAAAACAATTTGCTATGTAAACTTTCACCCAAATCAAAATTGAAAAAAATTACATTTTTGAAGAGTTGCTCTCCTAAAAATTCTTCTTGAACATATTTCTAAAATCAAACAGACTAAACAATATTAGGCTACTGTAGAATAAATCCTACTACTCCTAGGTTCCAACTGAGGAAAAGACTGCACCAACTCAAACAAATCGACTCTAATAAAAAGCCTGGGCCACAATGGTGTTCCTTCCCCTGGGTCCTACCTTTCTCAGTTACAGTCGTGCTAAAATAGTACCCTGTTCTATTTCAATCCTTTTAAATGCATTGAGGGGGCTTTGGTGGCATAGGTCGTAAGGCACTTGACTGCTAACCAGCAGTTGGCGGTTCAAACACACCAGCCACTCCTTGGAAGGAAGACTGGACGATCTACTTCCGTAGAGATACCGCCTCAGAAACCCAAGGAGGGTTCGCTGTGAGTCAGAGATGACTTGATGGCACATAACAACAAATGCATTGAGCAATATTTATGATCTAATATATGTCATTATTCAGGAAATTGTGTGGACTTAAATATAATATGTATTGCACAACTTTTTAAAAATTTCTCTATAAACGTCAATTATATCAACTTGATGGTGTTTTTTTAAGTCTTGTGTATGTTTACTGATTTTCCATACATTTCTTATAAATCTAATATTGAAGAAGGAATAGTTGAAATTTTCAACTATAACTGTCGATTTCTCCATTTCTCCCTTGAAATCTATGAGTTTTGGTTAAAAGATTGTTACATTTAGGATCTTTATAAATTAATAAATTGACTTTTTTCATTAAAAATACCAAAAATCAAAAACAAAACCTAGCATGACTCTGACCACTTCTCACCACCTCCCTTCAGATACACCAGCTACAGTAGCCTTCCGACTAACTTTCCTGTTTCCCCTTTCGCCCCTTCAAAATCCCCCCAGAGTAGTTCAAGTGGTCACTGCCAATGGTGATGAGAGTGGGTGACCTCCCCACGCCCCCTTCACTGGGTGGGTATCACCCTTAAGTAAAACCCAGGCTCCCTTCAAGTCCGGTCCGCCCCCCACACCTCATGCTGCCTGCCTCTATGCCCCCCAGCGTAGCTCTCTGTGAGCTGGCCTCTAAGACCTTTGGTTGGCTCCGGGCACTGGGTCTTGCCACACGTTTCCCTGGACTTCTACCTTCACATTTCTACAGGACTCTCTTTTTCTTTCCTCTCCCCCCAGTGCCGTCTGTTCAGAGCTCTTTCCTGACTACCCTCTAAAGCACAGGCCCCGATCATCATTGCTGACTCTGTTTTCCTAACAGCTCTATGGAGTATCTAAAATGATGTTGCTGGTTTTCTAACTCACTGTCTTCTTTGACAAAGCTCGAAACACTGTCTCGTTCTCATCTATGAACGGTGCCGGGACCCATAACTTGTGCTCAACAAACGTATGCTAAATTAATTACCTTTCAAATATTGATCTTGCTGAAATATATAAATAAAAGCCATGTTCATGATGCCCAATTCAAGCACTATTTTTAATCTGCAGATTAGATGCCATACAGATGTAAAACTTTACAGTGACTGTTGGACTACTGAAGAAACTCAGGAAAAACTACCTACACAGGTTTCAATGGAACACATCACAATCAACAATGGAATTTGCAACTTGTAAGCAACTTGTCCCAATTTTGCTTCAAAATGTCAATCTCCCAGCAGGCAGCCTTTCTTCTTCAACCCTCTCATTCTCCAGGGCCCTGCGAGGAGGGACTGCAAGGCAAGGGTAATCTCCTCACCGCAGCTGGCAGCCCTCCCGCAATCAGGTCTCTGCTGCGGCCTCAGAGCTCCCCAGCGACAGGATTTTCAGGAGACATGCCAAGCGATCAACAGAACTCTTTCTACTTGTGCTGGGAATTGATTGTTTACTGCCTCAAGTGCAGCAGACTTCTAAACCACGTCTTAGTTTATTGAGCCATGACATAATATTTCATACATAAGCTGGGTTTATTATATAGGAAATAAATATCATTCTTAACATTTATCTGCAAAGTCTAGAAAAGTCTACAGCTACATACTGGAAAGTCAAAGATTTAAAAAGAAAACAGCAATAATTTCAAAGTATTGGATGTATCTTTTTTTTTTTTTTT